GTGAACCCACCCTTATATATATATATATATATATATATATATATATATATATATATATATATATATATATATATATATATATATATATATAAGTTTAACTCATTTTTCTTTCATTTCTTCATCCTTGGCTGTGAATCCTCCCATTCTTTCTCAAGTATCATCCTCAAGAACACCACTTTTCACTCTTTTTCATCCCTTTTCTTTTATATCTTCTTGGTATACCACAAAGGGCCTTCAAAGACTCACCAATCCTCAAGATCTTCAAGTGTTCTTCATCATTTATGGGCCGTGAACCACTCATAGGGTCGTGAACCCTTCATCAGGGTCATGAACCCTTCATGTTTGGGTCGTGAACATTCATGTGTTCTTGGGTCGTGATCCCTCCTTCTGGTCGTGAACTCCCTTTCAGCCTTCCAACTTGCTTCTAACACTCTTTTGGTGAGTTATTCTTGCATCCTAGGTTGTTTCCTAAACACCTTTATAGTTACAAGCACTAATTGTATACATATATATATTATTATATGCTAAATATGCTCCGTTTGTGCTCGGAACTTCACTCGTGGAAGTAACACTCTTATTCCAGTCTTCAATCGAGTCACTCACAGCAGATGAGTTCATACCCCTATGTTTTAATGTTTTTCAATGTTTTAGAAGGGGGGAATACAAGTAAAACACAAGGAAATCTTGTGTTATCATTCAAATGATTTCAAACATGTTAAACTATTTCAGCTGTTGTAAACTATTTTATAAAGAATATTTCAAACTACTTAAATTGTTTTATGCTTATATTTTTCCCAAAAATACATGTTTATATACATATAGGTATATAATTAAGATCCAACAGGCTTAGGACTAGTGTGCCCACCTGACCTCCTGTTCCTTGTCTGGTTGTGGACTAAGGTTGGAATCATTTGTCCGGCTGCCTGATTGATCACAATCATATACATGTTATATCTATATTGGACATGAAATTTATTTAAATAACGTTTTAAAACCTTTTGTAACATGTCGAGCAAAAGGTATTTTACTCAAGTTATTTCATTATGATAATATAAACTGTTTAGTTACTAAGATTCTACACTACATTTAGAACATAAGTAAACTATAATAGGTATAGTTTAGGGAACACTAAAACTATTTTACTAAGTCATACTTATCATACTAAAAGGATTATTTAACTATAACTATTGTACACTACTAGTACAGGATAACATATACGTTTTTAAGTACAAAACAACACTAATAGTCTCTACGTATCTAGCTATACAAGGTTGTGAGTTACTATCTAGTTGTACCCATTAAGGTATAGCTTAAAGTCCTATCATTTATAACCAGAGTCTCCTGGAGGGAGAGCGTGAATTTGTGAATAGATCTATACGGGACTGACAATCCCGCACCTTGATGTTAGCTACAGTGGGACCGACAGGTCTACGGGTGACAAATGTCATACCAGCTTTTCGACGTCTACAATACGTCGTGTTTTATACTAGTCAGATTTAGTATGGTTATGGGAAAACTCACAAATGGTATTAACTAAGGTGTCTAGATAACAGTATTTCATAACTTAAATAATTTTCACAAATACAAGGACACTACACTACTACACTAGAACATGAACACACATTTGATAAGGGATCTATGACCATTCATTCTATGATTCATTTGTTTATACATCAGGGTTATATATGAGCGGGACCCGATTGACAGTAGGATGTGTGCCTTCCGCTTCATTTCCTATTCATTGTTTGGTTGTGGGCTTAGAGAAGATACACACAATTTACTATCTATTCAATCTTGGTTATATGTATAACTCGTATGCACTAATAAATCATAGGAGAAATCAAGTATAGGTCAGGTCTATACATATACAAGAACAAAAGGAACATACATATACATATACAAGAACACTACACTATTTTCTAGTACAAAACATACTTTTTGGAAAGAACGATTCACTAGGTGCATACATATACAAAAGCTTGCATACAAATACAACGGTACTACATTGCTTTCTAAGTTAAATGAAGATATCACTCAAAAGGGCCAACACTGTTAACTCTATAATTACCTTGTGCATACACCAGGGTTACATACAATGTGGATCAGACAAACAGTGGGATGTGTGGATTCTGCCTCATTTCATGTTCCTTGTTTGGTTGTGGGCTTAGGGCAGAACCACACAATCGACTGTCTATGTCATTTGTAGTGTATATAACTTGTATACACTAGGTAACTGTAGAAGGAACTATATTGGGTCACATTTTCTTACATCATATTACATCAGGAAATATTGGATTTTCTGGAAGAACAAACTAAGGTTTTCAAAGAACAAACAAAGGTTTTCAAAGAAACAAAGAACATATCTTATAAAACAAAATACTTATGAACTCACCAACTTAAATGTTGATACACTTTCAAAATCACTTGTATTCTCAGGAAACTAATAGACGGGTGCGCTCAAGGATTCTAGAAGACGAAGCATAATAGCTTCTAGTCTTTATTTTGTTATCTACTTTTGATGTTAATCATATGTGATTCAAATACATTGTAAACACTATACTATTAATACAATGGATGTTGTTGCTTGTTTTACTATTCTACAATTGTTGTGATACTTACATGACGTCCTCCGCCCCCGAATGTTTTCCGCCAATTCGGTTTGGGGGTGTGACAGTATGTATTATTAGTTGGTTTCCTCTTTATATATATATATATATATATATATATATATATATATATATATATATATATATATATATATATATATATATATGTTTAAGATTTTTACAAACCATTCTTGATAAATATAGTTTATTTATTTTTTATTTGTTATGAGTTTATGACATATGTTACAAATGTAAAATTTATTATATTGTTAAATCTTGGTTTGTGAGATTAAAAATTGACAAATACACAACGTATGTTTATGCGATATATAAGGAATTGAAGATTTATAATATAAATGTCTAAATTGTCATATATTTAGCAATTGGTATTTGAAAAAATGATGTATGATTTATATAAATATATATATTCAGTGTTGCTACATAATTTTAATTATATAACATATATGAATTGTGACATACACGACTAATTTGGATCTTTTGAAGTCGCATACGACAGCAAAAATATATATACATATATATTGGCATTGTCATTATATGACTTATAAACATTTTTCACAATAATAACTACAATACATTTATATATATATATATATATATATATATATATATATATATATATATATATCGTGATGTATACCACGATTCTCGTGTCCTTACCCAGATTATATAAATTTTCTAAAAGTGCCTGCTTAAGGTTCAAGTCGTGGTGATTCCAAAAATTCAGACGGGATTAAATTACGGCATACATAACTCCGTTTTAGACGTTCTTTATATTTTCGAAAACAGTGGAACATGTACTATAATATTTTAATGTTCGTTTTGCTCAAAACTGCATAATGTAAAATTTCAATTTTTTTTTTCAAACGCATTAATTAGCGTTGTCGTTTAAACAGTTTGATTCGGTTGACGGTTTACACATTTGGAAGTAAGGTATCATCTGACATCATATAATAATTGAAATAAAATTATTTATTTTACTTTAGATGCACTAAAACTCAATAAGTCAGATTATCACGAGATTCACGGTGAATTGGTCAGCTATAATTTTTGCCCTAAATTTTGGGATGTCACAGTATGGCACCCACCTTGATGCACTAGATGAAAGTTCTAGGATGTTTGCATGTACCACACAAGAAATTCTTCAAGACTTTTGCATAAGTATCATGCATTTGTACAAACCACGTTATTTGTGTCGTCCTACTTGCAGTGACATAAAACAATTGTATGCTAATCATGCAAACGTGCATGGCTTCCGTGGAATGTTAGGAAGTTCAGACTGCATGGGAGAATGATTATGTGTCCAAATACATATTATGGGCAATACACAAAAGGTAATTATCATTATCCGACGGTCGTACATGTAGTTATACTCTTACAAGATTTGTGGTTTTGGCAATCATGTTTTAAGTCTAATATTAATATATGTTTTGTCTGTCTTTTTATTATTAGTTGTTAAAAATAAACAAAACTAATAATGATTTTAAAAAAATGAAATTGCATGGCAAGGCACATCACAGCTCTCTAACATGGCATGCAAAAAAGATGATGTGGCGCTTAGCACACCACTACTCTCTCTAGTCTTATTTCCTTAATACTTGCATTTTATTTCTTATATTTCTTATATATGTAGTTTAAGTTATGCTCTTACTAATTCCCTAAGTTGTAAAAAATGTTCTTTGACTGAGGTTAAGGGATTAATCGGCTACGTTGGGATTCGAGGACCTTATATTGTTGTGTACGGTAAAAAAAAATATTATGTACGAATAACTTCCCTTTTAATTATGACTTATGATTGTAAACAAGGATATTTAAATTAATTTTTGAGCAACCATTACGAGAAAAGGTATAAAAAAGAAAAGAGTCACTACATACATCAAGAACATATATTTCAATACCTTATGTCCAAGCCATTGCAAATACTCAATAAGTTAGAATTGAACTTCATTTGATGAAATGAAGTTTAATCGTCTAATCCATTGATTATTTCGAATTTGAATGATGTTAGGGATTCGATTGTTTGTTGGAATAATGTTTTCAACATATTGGATCCATATTAAATCCGTAAAAGTCCCTCCCAAAGTCTTAGAAAGTACATAAACCATGTCCTAACCTACAATACCACATACATAATAAGAAATATACACTTAGACACAAATCCCACTTCCCATATTTACAAAATTTATTCAATAATAACTCAACTTAAGATTACTATACATCTTACAAATAAAAACTCACATCGTTTAAGTATGCAATTTACATGAATGTATTTACTCCTTGTTGTCAGAAGACCTATCTTTCTTCTGTCCACCACCAAGAATACGAGATATCTGTAGACCTCTACTGAACGCTTGGTTGAAAAGCATACGTGTTTGGAATTCTGACACGAATGGAAACCATGCAAGAAATGCAACCGGAGTGAATAAAAGTAACCCCATGATTATTTCATAGTATTGCGCTAGGGTTCTAATCGATGACCAGAGTCCAGATCTTCGCAAAAATGGCCTCAAAAGCTTGTGATATCTAACAACAGATAACATACAACAGATAAATAATACCGATTAACATCACTAATAGTAATATGAAAATGGCGGAACAGATTTAAAAGTAAATAACCCTGCCACGTCAGCAGAAAGTAAAAAATTCCACTGAGGGGTAATTTTGTAAATACAGTTAAGACAAAAATACTAACCAGAAGTAGTCCCCAGCCAGTAGGGAGGAAGGCGAGGATGCATACGACAATATCCTTGATTGTCATGTGTGGTAGTGCAACCAATGTGATTAGAGTAGAAGCAAATGCAACAACTATGAAACCATTGATTAATCGGAAGAGAAGTTGATAATCAGCACTAAGGGTTTTTCTCCAATATGACATGGCCTGAAATTTGATGTAAAAAGTCAAACAGATTTGATATGTTGGTCAAAAATGTTTAGAGTAGGAAGCAAATGCAACAACTATACAAAAATGTTTCATAGATTAAAGCTAAAAAGAGACCACGTTTTTACACGGATTATATATATAAATTAATATATTATTTAAGGGAAATTGTCAGAAAAGTCGCAATATTTTTGGAAAAGTTACGATTAAGTCCCAAATTTATTTTTTTGAACATAAAAGTCCCGATTATTTCATTTTGGCTCAAATTAACAAAAAAGTCCTTTTTTTTTTCCTTTTAACAGGAAATGATATATTATCGTGTAAAATCAAATAATCGGGACTTTTTTGTTCAAAAAAAAAAAGTTGGGACTTAATCGTAACTTTTCCCAAAATATTAGGACTTTTTTGGAGATTGCCTTATTACTTGATTATGAAATAAATAACATTATTTATAATGTATATTATGTTTTTCTTAATATAATCTTTGCACGAATTGTGCCTATGGTTTTGGGTAATTTGCACGTTTGGTCCCTAACTTAAATTTTTCAACTCAGAAGGTCTTTACTGTTTGTTTTTGTTACGCGCTTGGTCCATGTCTTACCTAAAAAGACTATTTTGCCCTTGATTTTCTAATTTATTTAAATAAACACACCCCTAACCCCACCCCCTCACCTTACCTTACCTTACCTTCCTTACTATTTTTCCCTATTTAAATAATAGTCTTTTAAGGTAAGATAGGGACCAAGCACGTAACAAAAACAAATATGTAGAGACCAAGCATGTAACAAAAATAAACAGTAGGGACCTTCCGAGTTAAAAAAATAAGTTAGGGACCAAGCGTGCAAATTACCCCAAACCATAGGGACCATTCGTGTAATTTACTCCATTATAAACTACACATTAATAATATATATTATGTTTTTCTTAATATAATCTTTGCTTTGTATTAATAATTAGGCCAAATTCTATAAAAAAAAACCTCTATATTTTGACTTTTTTTCGTTTAATCACCGAAAGATTTTTTTTTCTGGTTTAACGAATGAGTTTATTTTTTAATTTTTTTTCGGAAAAACCACTGTAAGTATTTCTTGGTAATGGATTGCAAAAAGAGATCGATAGAAAAAATTTCTGGTTAAAGTTATTTAAAAAAAAATCGAAACTATAATGGTTAGATCACAAAAAAATAAATAAATAAAACTGAAAGAGAAAAAATTTCTAGTTGAAGTTATTTAAAAAAAAAATCCAAACTATAATGGTTAAATCACAAAAAAATAAAAATATATATATATAAAAATTCTTCCTATGGTTAAAGTTAAACTGAAGAAATGGCAAACTATAATGGGTTTTATAGAATTCAAAGTTTCATGTAGAGTTTTTTGTTAAAAAAAAAAAAAAAAAAAGTCTTGGTGATTAAACCAGAAAATATTTTTCCGGTAGTTAAACCAAAAGAAAAAATTCAAACTACGTCGTCTTTCATTGAATTTAGCCTAGTAAATAAAATAAAATATAATCTTATAAATTTTACTTTCTTATGTTAAATCTATTCAAAATATGTTACTCCTATGTTACATACCTTCATTACGAGTAATACTCCAATGAGCACAAGCCACGAAATCCCATAAACCTACAAACAAAAACAAAAACAAAATCCACAATCAAAAAATCACCAATTATCAATCAACCAAATAACACAATCACAAAACACATACCAGAAAACTTTTACTCTCAGTCAAACTCAAATGATACACAAGCCCAAATTGATAAATAAAAAACCTCAACGCCAACAAAATCTCCATAACAGTCCCCCTAACCCCAGACGCCACAAGATGTTCTTGTTCCTTCTCCCACCACGACTCCCAACTCTTATCCACCGAAACCCCAATTCCCCCTCTATTACTAATCCACTTACTCCAATCAGTCCAATCATCCACAATCTTCTGCCACTCAAACCCCGAAGGATTAAACAAAAACGGCGCAAAAAGCCACGACCCCACCATAAACCACATCGAAATCGTAATCAAAATATACGCAACCGATCCCCTATACGATTGCCCAAAAACCTCATACACAACAAGTAAAATCAAAAGCTCGATTCCTTTCACGAAATGGCTGCGAGAGTAGAGTCGGTAGTTTTCGGCGAATTTGGCGTGGAAGACGACGAATCCGCGACCTGTGGCGCGGTACTGTGCGCCGCCGTGTAGGAGAGTGCGGCCGTAGTAGTGGGTTTTGGTGCCGAGGGAGAAGGTGAAGAAGACGGAGGCGAGTTGGAGTTGCATGAGGATGAAATCAGTTAGGGCTTTGTGGAAACCGCGTTCGAGGCCGATTTCCATCATCATTGGAAGCGCCATGAGGAAGCCGATTTGGACGAAGGATTGGGATGCGAGAGCGACTTGAAGGGGTTTGTCGTTTACGACTTGTTTGTTTGTGCTTAATTCTCTTTCGAGTCCACTTAGAACAAGGTATAGGCGTCCATAGAGAAACACGTATACAATAAGCACAGTTACCTGAGATAGAATAGAACACAAGTTTATGGTTCCATTTGTATATGCTTCGTTGTTTAGAAGATTGAATTTAACTTTAAAGTTTTACCAATGTATTGAAGTAAAATCCAACAGTGGTGAAGTAGCAAGAGAGCATGCGAAAGAAATCAAAACGGTGTCCAAGTCTATAAATATCACGACTCATTGTCTGCTCTCCATTTCCATTTGCAATCTTTGCTTCAAACAATGAGATCTGATTCAAACCAACATCTCTTCCTTTTCCAACTTGGATGTATTCATGATGCGTAACATTTCCACCACGTAATGTAGAATTAAAACCTGAGAAATAATTAAATATTAAAAATGTGAAAAAAAATATATAAATGAAATATAAAAGAAGAAAAGACATGCCTGCAAATATGTCTTCACTGAGGTTAACGATTTTGGAAGCCTTGCTGACACCACCTCTGGTTAGGTGAAATAGTCTATCGAATACATCTGGATGCCCGTAGTGGAATCTCACTCTGAAATGTGCAGGGGTAAAATTGGTATAAATATTATTTGTCAACATAATGTAAAAAGATTGTAAGGCTTACTTTAAAGGGTTGGCTAATAATCTTTGTCCAATGGTTACAAAACTTGTCTCCTGATTTGACATAAACCACGCAAGAGAAGAAACACTGAAAGCATAATATCATTAAAAAAAAGGTTAATACTTAATATAAAGTTATTAACCATAAAACAGAGTAAATTTGTGATAAAATGCAATATTAGGTAAAATAATAATAATAAAAAATGTTATTTACCTGCCAGTGAAAATATGCTCCCTGAGGCCAAGTATAGTTGGGGTCCTTACGCCATGTGTGACAAGAAATTCTTGAAGCAAATTTCTCATTTTAAATGCTTCTTCCATGTAGTTATCCTGTTGAATTTATATATGACAATAAATATTAAGCTAATTTAAATAAAAGAGTGTAATTTAATTAATAAGAAAAATTTGAAAGCATAAGTACTTGGTTCATATCAATTGTTTGAAGGCCTTCTCCACGTGTAAATATTATTGCATGGTTTTGGTTTTCTGGTTTTCCCTCTCCCAGTATCGCAGGTCCCGGAAGTTTTATACGATATATAACCTGAAAAAAAATAAAAATAAATAAATAAATAAATTGTCACTTCAGTGTATTTATATATAAAAATCTTATACAACACAAGTTTTATTTAACCTTTTTACAGATTTTTGGTTTTGGACCATTTTGGTCCTTATTTTACCGTTTCATAATGTTTTTTGTCCCTTCAGTTTCAGACTGTTGGGCTCATTCACTTGAGTTCCACATGAGGGCATTTTGGTCTTTTTCCTTGTAACAATGGCCATATGGAAGAGCTTCTTTGATTCAAACTTCATGGATATTCAAAAACCCAGGAAGACGATTCTACTAGTACCACCCACCTCAAGGAAAAGACCAAAATGCCCTTGTGTACAAGGCATGAGAATGGGCTTAACAGGATGAAACTGACAATGTGAGTGAGAGGGACCAAAAACGTAATGAAAGAGTGAAATATGGACTAAAAAGGAAAGAATACAAAAAATAAAAGAATCAACTAAGTAGCCCATGGACGAAAATGCCCTTGTGTACCTGATCTTGGTTTTGAACTGGATCAGAGGAATCAGCAGACTTTGGAACAGCTTTCACAAGAACTGAATAAAAGGAAACTTTGTCCACCACTTTTTTTGTTTTTTCATTGCTGGTTTCTTCAACCTCATCAATAAAAGCAACACGAAGAGAAGGATACCTGATCATCAATGTAACCATATACCAAAAAAAAAAAAAAAAAAAGAACATGTTAAAACATACAATACAAAAAAAAATCATGATTCAATTATAGCATTGTAATTTAAAAGTGCAATGTTGTAATAGAAAGAAATGAAAGTAGATTGCTATTTATTGCATTTAAACATATGATAAATTTCATGATTCATACGTTGTCATGAGTCTGAGAATGTCATGAGCATGAGCAAGTCCTGCTCTTTTTTGGATTCCATATTGTTGGCATGATACCACATATGAGAACTTCATATCCACCACTGCTTGACATTGTGTCAATAATGATCTATTATTGCTTAAATATTCTTCAGTGTTGGATTCAGCAGCTTTGTAACCTTTCATTAATTCTAAAAAAAAAAAATTATATGATTTATATAACATGCTAATGTTAAATACCATGAAAAAAGCCATGGGAACGAAGAGCAACAGTTTAGTTGGATGGAATTGAAAGAGGGAGGAATGTAATAAGTCATTACATTCCGTTATTTACAAAACTAGCAAATTGAACAAACATGAATATACACAAATAAGATTATAATAAAGAAAAAATATTCTTTGGTTACTTTTAGAAAACAAATTTGTGAAATATTTTATGCCACTATAAAAGACCTTATATTTTGTGTTTTTACTGGATTAAACCTCAAATTTAGTTTTTTCCTGAAGGAGGTTGTATTTTTTTCATTTTTTCCAATCTGACCCTTTGTCATTTTTATCCAAAAAAAATAGTAAAATGTGAGGGTTGTTCGAGAAAAACAAAAAAAAATGAGGGTTTATTTGGAAGCAGTTAGAAGGTTGAGGGTTTTTTTCGGAAAAAATATAAGGTCTTTTTCAGGAAAAAAATAAAGTTGAGGTTTAATCCGGAAAAAACACAAAATATAAGGTCTTTTATGAGATGAACACTAAATTTAAAAATAAGAATGGGTTAAAAACTTAAAATACAATTTCAAAAAAAAATAATAATAACACACACACACACACACATACACCAGCCTAAGGAATGAAAATTAACGAAATGGAAGGAATCACAGATTCTATTCCATCAAGCAAATCAAACAACTTTTTTCATTCCAATTGAATAAACGATTTATATAACATGTTAACGTTATGGGAACAAAGAGAAACAGTTTAGTTGGATGGAATTGAAAAGACGAAGGAATGGAATGGCCAATTCCATTCCTTCTCCATTTCCATCATACCAAACACTAGCTTATATACTTACCATCATCTTTTGCCATGTCAAGGAAAGTCTGAAGTTCCAATGCTTGCTTATAATACATCATGCCTCTAACTAAATTTCAAACAAATTTAAAACAGAAGATGATAATCATTTTTAGTTAGCACAATATCTCAAATTTCAAAATTCAAAATTCATCAAAAGATCATATTATATATATACCAGTTTTAGTTAGTGTTTGGCCTCTATATGATGCCCAATGGCGAAGCTCTTCTTCCATTTCTGGATTACCTTTCATTTCATCTTCATGTTTGTATCCCACCCTTTGTAGAAAATTGTCCCATTCATCTGTATATCACATAGTTATTCAGTATCATATTCATATGGATTTATCATATCACATGGATTTAATGACAAAATAATAAAAATAATAATAATAATAAATAAATAAAGTAAACTGACCTGGGAAAATTTTCTGCAAGTAAAAAAGGATGGAAACTCCATCTTCATTTGGCTTTTCCAATGCATCCATGGAGAAAAGAACATCCTCATTGAAGTAAGGAGTAAGAACCCTTTGATAAAATGAATATTACAAAAGATCTATCAGCTCAGCTATTTTTATCAAGGAGTGTTTATATAAGTTAACTTGTATCCAAAGGACACGTTTTTCTTTTTCCCATAAGGCTAAATGCAAGACATAGCAATGTGCTTTTCTTTTTTCTTTATTATAACAGTGTACTTTGAAAAGTTTATCCATTATAGCAACAAGATAGGAAAAAGAATATATTCATTCTTGAAAATTGGTAAAAGATGACATTAAAACCTGTTAATTTGTGTCATATCATCAAAATCTCAATCTATAAATATTGTTTTTGACTTGCTAACTATATACGTGACATACAAATGGAAGTGTCTAGATCGCAATAAGAACGTATATCTTATACAAACAAATCAAGGGATGTATTATAAGTGTTCCAAATGACATTTATTTTCTGATTATATTTAATTAAATAGTAAATAAGGTGAAAACTTACGAGAAAGAAATCATGTTTCTAACTTTAGGTGCCATAGGCATATCCATAAACAAGGAATTTGAGAAGAAAGAGATACGCCTTCTGGCTTCTATGTTTGATGGAACATCCATAGCAGATTCCTTCTCAGTAAGCAACAGATGAAGCCTTCTTATCTGGAAACAATATTAATAAAAAAATGGTTTACAAATAATGAAATAAGGTAAATGTTTGGAGTAAAAAGTAAAAACTTACTTTCTCTTTCCAAGCATCTGTTTCTTTTGTAACAGGAAAATTAAGAGCTGCAAAGAACTTCTGATATTGTTTATCTTGTTGAGCTTCATGGTTTCCATAAGCACCACCATGGTTTGATTCCATCAAACTATATATATCAGAAGCAAAACGATTTAATTAATTAATAATATTTATTCAAGAAAGTCAATTATGCTACTTGAGATTTTACCTAGAAATTGGTGCATCCATCATTATGTCTCTTGTCATGATCTCCAACATATTAAGTAATACAATCACAACACCATCCTTGTCACCTTCTTCATTTTTCATCTGTAGAAAACAAAATTTGTGAATTAAGGAAATATCTTTAAAATTATGTTATTGAAGTGTACTATGATTTTTTAAATAGTTACCAAAAACTCAATAAGCTTAACAAACTGAAAAGTGAGGCTAGGTAAGGCCCGCATATCAAACTCCTTTAAAAGTTCTCCCTTCTCTATGTGCATGTCAACCGTGTTGAATATCTCAGTTAAAACACTGAAAAAAGTCAAACCACATTAAAGGGTAAGTTAGTCATATAAAATAAGGCTAAATGCAAGAAATAGCAACATACTTTCACTTATTTGTGTACTATAGCACATCCTACTTTCTTTCTTTCTGTCAAAGGTTTTATAAGTCTCATTATTTTGGGAAAATTTTTGATAAAGTCCTAAAAAAAAAATTTTAACTGAAAAGTCCCGATTATTTAACATTTTGCCCAAATTAATGAAAAAGTCCTTTTTTTTATTGTAACAGGAAATGACAGATGATGTGATTTTCCCAAAATGGGACTTTTCTGCATAAAACCCTTATCAAAAAAAATTCTTATCAAGGCATTGTACTTTGCAAGACATTCTTATAGCAGTAAAAATTGATTTTTATTAGATGATGTTGCTATAATTGAGAAGATTTTCAAAGTAGAATCTTGTAATAGGAAAATAATAAAGTAGGATGCTATAATAAACAAATCAATAGTGAAAGGACTAGAATGGTAATTTACATACGCCTTTTCACGATCCCCTAAAACCAGAAATATCAGATATTTTTGCATGAAGCATAGCATTCGCGAACTGCATAGTCCATATAACTGTCTAAATTCAGCCTCTTTTGCAATTCAGAGTATCTTCCATTACTATCTTTTGCCATATCCAATGCTATAGGAAGCTGAAATATAACAATTAAAGAACTCAAATTACGTATGCCTTTAAAAAAAATTCATAAAAGAACATGTGGAATGTGTAAAAAACCTTGCTAGCAAGTAAAAATGGAGGCCACTGGATGAGATTTAAATCAAGATCTGCCCAATATGGCATGAGTAATAGGGCCATTTCACTGATAAAAGAAAAAAAAAAGAATCCAAGTAGAAATCAGTAAAACTAAAAATTCATATATGTATGAAATGATTTAAATCATCTAGAACAAGACCTGTTGTTTATCAAATCTTCTTCCCTGAAACTTGTAATGATTTTATTCCACATTTGAGCAAACTTTGCTGCTTCCTCTTTATCAGATGTGATCTGAAATAGATACATAGATAAATAAATATAGGGATATGAGTCAAAAGAATGTGTACATTGTGGTTACTAATGAGAAGATATTAAAATTTAACCTTAGTGATTCTACGTGATAGAGTAGCCTTGAGTCCCTTTTTAGCCTTTTCACTATTTTCTGCTGGAACTAACCATTTGTTAAAAGCAAATGGCAGTTGCTCAAACCTACTTCTCAACATTTCCAGTGTTCGTATCTGAAAAAGAAAATATTTTACAAATAAGAAACCAAAAACAAAAACAAGATATAATAAATAGTTAAATACAAACCTCTCCAAGACGCCTAAATGCACCATAGAAACCACCAAATATAGTTGAAAAGATAGCATACCAAATTTGTGTATCCATGAAATATACCTGTTGAAGATAAAATTAAAAGTTTCAGTTTAAAAACTTAAGAGGAAAGTGATAGAAGAAAATAAATAAAAGTAACATACAAGAATAATAGGAGCCCAAAGTGCAATGACAACACCAAGATTGTTGCTAGCTGAAAAGAGGAAAAAAACAATGTGGAAATCATAATCAATTTCATTTCATGGTGTATGTAACTAATGGACTTGTTTATTATATGCATAAAAATATACTTTGGGGGAAGAACTCATGCCATTGGTAACGTCTTATGTGAACATTCATAATTGCTTTTGTAGGACCCACTAGAGGCTTTATCTGTAATATAAGAACAAAAAAAAAAGAATAAATTATTCTCACTAAGACTATAAGAAATTAAGTATAGATAAGTGTTGGAAGAAAAAGATTTAAGAACATGAGAAACACCTCTAAGTAGTAGCTGAAAGCTAACTTTGCCACTAAGAGGATAACCCAAAAGAATGTGTACCTAAAAAATAACATTTTTAAGTATATATATAAGAACTAATTCAGCCGATATGCACATGTGATTTTATTAAGGAAGTCCTACTTGATTAGGGAAAGAGGATCTTCATGCATTCCCCTCCCCACATAAAGTGGAAGCTGCAATTTTTTCAAAACTGTTAAAAACAATATTCTGAATCGTTAATGTCACTATTTAGCAACCAATTATTCCCATTTTGCTATTTAAGTCCCTACAAATTTTACTTGTACTAAATAGATCACTAAACATCTAATGAATCAGTATCCATGTTCACATTATATGTCCACATGGTGACATGGACACAATTTGAACAAATTTACCAATTGTACGCCAAGTAGGATGCCACATAGGATCGAATACTTTTTTACACAGTTACAATATGTCCCAATGGTGGAACTGAAAACGCATTAGATGTTCAGCGCCCTATTTAGTACAATTAAATGATTGGGGGGTTGAACAACAAAAATATAACATTTTTAAATATAACAAAAATTATATTTTGGAAGGTTTTTTGTGTACCTGTGACCACCACATGATGAATCTGACAATTCTGTAATTTGATCTCTCTAGTTTTCTACGGAAAAAGGGTAGGAGGAATAATAATGCTGAAAGCATGTTTGGAGACAAGTAAACAACAATTGCTAAAATGAACAAAGAAGGGGAACTTGGTCCACTTCCAAACCAACTCTTCATTGTTTGTCCAAATCCAGAAGGATTGTTTAAACTATAAGAATATGTAATTGGTAAAACTATGACCCAAGCTGCTGCTGAAAGTGTCTTCAATATGTATCTAAGCTTCACGTGAAATGACATGCTAAACCTTGCTTTCCACATCATCACCAGATCAATGACAGCTGGAAAATGACTTTAGATATTAGTCTATGTGATTGTAACAATTTATCATATATAGATTAGCAGTGTCACACTGTGTTAACCAGATCAATGACAGCTGGAAAATGACTTGAGATATTAGTCTATGTGATTGTAACAATTTATCATATATAGATTAGCAGTGTCACAGTCACACTGTGTTAAGGTTTAATCCCCTTTCTTGTATGGGATCATTGTAAATGTAATTGGAATGACTTGAGATACTAGTCTATGTGATTGTAACAATTTATCATATAGTGGATTTTCTCATGGTTCTTCTCTGGTTTTGGAGTTTTACATGTAAATTATAGTGTTCAATTTTCTCCATCATTTTTCATTGAACAGATTGTTGGGAATCTTTGAGGCCATTTTTCCAACAGTAACATAGTCTTCATGGTGATAAAGTGAAGTTGTAGACCTTTTAGGTTTGACTTGCAAAAGTCAAAATCGAGACTGCAAAAAGAGTATGTCATTAGTTAGTTACCTTGTCCAAGTTTCAAAATTGCTGCTGTTATGAAGATGCTCAAAACTTTCTTGAACACTTCTCCATCAAAGACAGAGCTTAGTTTACCAGATCCATTCCATGCTATAATAATCATTGCCTTCAGTTGGTAGTTTATGTTAGCCATGAGATAAATTATTGTCAATATAACAAAGCTAAAGAAAGCATTATAATTCATAAGACAAAAAAAAAAAAAAAAAAAAAAAAAAAAAACAATAAGATTACCTGTAAACATAAAATGAAAAAGCTCCACATCCTATCAAAACTCCTAAATATATGCCAGTATGAATCTATCTCAACAAAATTGATCTTCCCTACCCACCTCCTACTACCAGTAGGTTTTTCCACCTGACAATAAATAAACAAAAAGGGTTAAAATAAGAATCTGATACAGGAAGTTTTAAAAAAAAATAATAATAATAATACTCACCTCATTCTCTTTAACTTCATCAGGCACATGAAAGAAATCAGCATCAGCACGCATTGGCCACCCTATGCGAAAACAATCAACTGACCTAAAATGTTACACCAATTTAGTAACATGTTTAACAAAATTTTCAAAAAAAAAAAAGAAATGTGATTCAAGATTTATGACAAATGAGATACCAGAAGTACTCATTCAGATCATCATAATTTCTCCATTGAGAATGTTTTGTCTTTCCTCCTTTGCTTTTATGAGCTTCCTGTAAGAAACAATATAGTGAGAATTATGAACTGTAAGTTAGTAAGTTACATGAAATTAAAAGACCTTTTTGTACTACACCTTTGCAATTGTATTGTAGATAGGAGTCACAACTTTCATCAAGAATGCCTCCTTTTCACCTCCATATGCAGGTTTAATATTCTCACCTGTTACAGAACTCACACTTCCAGCCAGCATACCATAAAGTTCAAATGCCATCTGTGAATATATTGGACCTTGAAAATAGCTATTTCTTTCAATGTTGATCCTTATTTGAGGTTTTTGTACATTTTTGGTCCCTGTCCCAAGTGAAATGACGATTTTTGGGACTAAAATTGCAAAAACCACCTATACTCAGGGACCAAAAAAGTCATTTTACTGGGAAGAGAGACCAAAAACGTTACAAAAACCTCAAATAAGGAGAAGAGCTGCAATAAAAAGCTTTTTGGGACCAAAATTTAAATAATTAGCTATACTTAGGGACCAAAGTTATAATTTACTCGAATATAAATGGAAAGGTTAATAAAAATTACTTCAATGTTGGTCCTTATTTGAGCTTTTTGTATATTTTTGGTCCCTGTCCCAAGTGAAATGACAATTTTTGGGACCAACTTTGCAAAAATCAGCTATACTTAGGGACCAAAAAGGTCATTTTACTGGGAAGAGGGACCAAAAACGCTACAAAAATCTCAAATAAGGAGCAAAATTGCAAGAAAAAACTTTTTAGGACCAAAATTAAAATAACTAGCTATACTCAGGGACCAAAATAGTAATTTACTCGAATATAAATGAAAAGCTTAATAAGGTTTCTAAAATTACTTCAATATCGGTCCTTATTTTGAGGTTTTTGTACATTTTTGGTCCCTACGCCAAGTGAAATGACAATTTTTGGGACTAAAATTGCAAAAATCAGCTATACTTAGGGACCAAAAACGTTACGAAAACCTCAAATAAGGAGCAAAATTGCAAGAAAAACTTTTTAGGATCAAAATTAAAATAACTAGCTATACTCAGGGACCAGAATAGTAATTTACTCGAATATAAACGAAAAGCTTAATTAGGCTTCTAAAATTACTTGATGTAAAAGAATAAAAAGGAGTATTGGAAAGAGCATAAGAGGATCATAATAATGCATACGTGGTGATAGATGTAGCAAAGGCA